TACCTGTTTTAATGCAGTGCTGCCTGAGGGCCCAAAGATCAGAAGCATCCAATACTGACCATAGGTCCCTGGTGTACAGGGATTTCTCCAGATTCTCTGAATCTTTGGATTATATTAAGTACTGTACATGGTGGGATATTCAAAGCCTTTACAATTTTACATTGAGGAACATTTTCACAGATTGCTGAACCTCTGCCCATCTTTGCTTCTGAGAGACTCTGCCTCTCTAAAATGCTATTTTTATAACCAGCCATGTGAGTTAGTCGCAAATTGCTCCTCCAGCTATTTTTTATTAGTACCACTTGCTTTTCCAAAAATGTCTCACTTTCAACATCTTTTATGTGTTCTATGTTCCATTGTGAATAAAATATGGGTCCTTGCATTCTGTTTTTATTTACATCAGGCTGAGCCATGTGTGCACACACAGTTGATGGTAAGTAACAGTAAAGTATTTGGTTTAATAAACTCTCTGTCTGCCTCCTCTGACTCAGACAGATGTTGAAGTTGGTGAGCAGCATCTTGAAAGGTCACTGATGCATCTGCATCTATTTCATCGCTCAGCTCTAGGTTTAGTCTTTCTTGTTATCATACTGGAGAAAGAAATATAGAAAAAAAAATATATATATATATATATATATATATATAAATAGATAAATAAACATTATATTTACATGAATGCATATATTAAAAAACATATTTATGTATTTACAGATTTATGTATTTTTTTTTTTACTTTTCTGTTACTCATTTATCTATTAATTTTCCATTTTATTTATTTATTTATTTATTTATTTTTTGCCCTCTTTCATCTTCCACAGCTAAAAGGCAGTGGCAAAAAACAAACAAACAAATACAAAATTATAACAAAAATTATAAAATCTAAGCAAAAGTGGAACAACTTTTTGTCATTGTGCAGTAACAAATTCTGGAGAAAAATCAGTTAAAAATGTAAAATGTTTTATATTTTTATAGAAACATTCCACCGAAACACATTGAAGTCTTTAATTAATTCCTTCCCCCTGGTTAGTCTGCCTACTTGTGCTCTTTCTTTTGGATTTTTATTGAAGAATCTAAAAGAAACTGTGAGCAGAGTAAGGGGATCAGCTGAGGGTTTAAAGAGAGAGAAACTCTGATCAGAGTTAGAGGATCAGCTGAGGGTTTAAAGAGAGAGAAACTGTGATCAGAGTTAGAGGATCAGCTGAGGGTTTAAAGAGAGAGAGACTGTGATCAGAGTAAGAGGATCAGCTGAGGGTATAAAGAGAGAGAAACTGTGATCAGAGTTAGAGGATCAGCTGAGGGTTTAAAGAGAGAGAAACTGATCAGAGTAAGAGGATCAGCTGAGGGTTTAAAGAGAGAGAAACTCTGATCAGAGTGAGAGGATCAGCCGAGGGTTTAAAGAGAGAGAAACTGTGATCAGAGTAAGAGGATCAGCCGAGGGTTTAAAGAGAGAGAAACTCTGATCAGAGTAAGAGGATCAGCCGAGGGTTTAAAGAGAGAGAAACTCTGATCAGAGTAAGAGGATCAGCCGAGGGTTTAAAGAGAGAGAAACTCTGATCAGAGTAAGAGGATCAGCCGAGGGTTTAAAGAGAGAGAATCTGTGATCAAAGTAAGAGGATCAGCCGAGGGTTTAAAGAGAGAGAATCTGTGATCAGAGTAAGAGGATCAGCCGAGGGTTTAAAGAGAGAGAATCTGTGATCAGAGTAAGAGGATCAGCCGAGGGTTTAAAGAGAGAGAAACTGTGATCAGAGTAAGAGGATCAGCCGAGGGTTTAAAGAGAGAGAAACTGTGATCAGAGTAAGAGGATCAGCCGAGGGTTTAAAGAGAGAGAAACTGTGAGCAGAGTAAGAGGATCAGCCGAGGGTTTAAAGAGAGAGAAACTGTGATCAGAGTAAGAGGATCAGCCGAGGGTTTAAAGAGAGAAACTGTGATCAGAGTAAGAGGATCAGCCGAAGGTTTAAAGAGAGAGAAACTGGATCAGAGTAAGAGGATCAGCTGAGGGTTTAAAGAGAGAGAAACTGTGATCAGAGTAAAAGGATCAGCCGAGGGTTTAAAGAGAGAGAAACTGTGATCAGAGTAAGAGGATCACCCGAGGGTTTAAAGAGAGAGAAACTGTGATCAGAGTAATATGATCAGCCGAGGGTTTAAAGAGAGAGAAGCTGTGATCAGAGTAAGAGGATCAGCCGAGGGTTTAAAGAGAGAGAAACTGTGATCAGAGTAAGAGGATCAGCCGAGGGTTTAAAGAGAGAGAAACTCTGATCAGAGTAAGAGGATCAGCTGAGGGTTTAAAGAGAGAGAACCTGTGATCAGAGTAAGAGGATCAGCCGAGGGTTTAACGAGAGAGAAACTCTGATCAGAGTTAGAGGATCAGCTGAGGGTTTAAAGAGAGAGAAACTCTGCTCTTTAGGATTCAGATGAAGAGAACAAACAAAACACAGATCAGCAGTGAGAGACAGAAACATCCAGCTCATCTTAACATCCGATTTATTGGCTTCAAACATGTAACAGATTATAAACGTGGAGTTAGTAAATATAAAAGAAAAATTAAAAATGTAAGTAAAATAATATGTAACAATAAGAGGCTGATCACATTTCAACACACACTTTTTTTGTTTTTGTTTGTTTTTACATTTATAAACAAGGATAGTGAGCATAAGGACAGAGGCAGCTCTTCCACTGCAGTAAGGTTTTATCTCCCCCTAGTGGTGAAGTTTGTAATGAAGCCTGATCCTGCTGGAGCTCTGGGTTACAGACTGACACTCAGCTGAATCTAAAGCTCATTCATACCGCACTGCTGTTCACCATCAGAATCATGTTAGTAAATATCAAAGTAAAATAATATGTAATAATATCAAGAGTATTTACACATCTCAATGCATTATTTTCATTGTTTTCACATTTATAAACATAGGGATAGAGAGCATAAAGACAGAGGCAGACTGAGGCAGATTGAGGCAGCTCTTCCACTGCAGTAAGGTAAATAATGTCTCACTCTAGTGGTGAAGAGTGAAATGAAGCCTGATCCAGCTGGAGCTCTGTGTAACAGACTGACACTCAGCTGAATCTAAGGTTTATTCATGCTGCACTGCTGTTCACCATCAGAATCACTTTCATTCATCATCATCAGCTGTGCAGCAGAGTTTGGAACATCTGGTTTTAAAAACGTCTTCATTCAGAGCAAAAACACACGCAGAATATACAAGATATATTAAATAATACATTTTGTTAGTGTGATAAACACCTTGCTGGGTATATGATGGATATAATCTGTAATTAAAGAAAAAAGACCAACTGCATGTTTCATCATAAAGAGCACAATCAGTCCTGTTTAACTGGATTTAGAGCAGTGCACTGTGGGAAATGTTGAATATAATTCACTGTATGCTGTTTTTAAATATGACTCTACTAGTGAACTGAGTCTGTGTCAAAACACTGTAATTCATATTGTGTATTGTGAAAATATCTTTAAGTATCGTGATGTGATGTTTTTTCCATATTGCCAACCTCTAGTTTACAGCACTACAAACTGCAGCAGAAACACAGCAGAGCAGTTTGTGTAAATGCAGTATGATCTGTATGTACAGTCCATCATGTGTGGAGTTAGACTGAGCTTTAGTTTAAGCTTTAGGAAGTAAAGAGAAACAGTGATGGAAAGAGTTGAGAGGAAACAGGTTTGTGTAGTGTGATGGTGAGAGGAATCAGAGGTCATCTTAATGACCTTCAGAAGGACAGCAGAGCTTCAGCCACTCAGCTGATCTTTAAGAGTCTCTCTAAGATTGTGTGTGTGTGTGTGTGTGTAATAAGATTGTGTGTGTGTGTGTGTGTGTGTGTGTGTGTGTGTGTGTGTGTGTGTAATAAGATTGTGTGTGTGTGTGTAATAAGATTGTGTGTGCATGTGTGTAAGAAGACTGTGTGTGTGTGTGTTGGTGTGTGTAGTACGATTGTGTGTGTGTGTGTGTGTGTGTATCTGTGTGTGTAGTAAGATTGTGTGTGTAGGTGTGTGTGTGTGTATGTGTGTAATAAGACTGTGTGTGTGTATGTATGTAATAAGATTGTGTGTGTGTGTGTGTGTGTGTCAGTGTGTGTAGTAAGATTGTGTGTGTGTGTGTGTGTGTGTCAGTGTGTGTAGTAAGATTGTGTGTGTGTGTGTGTGTGTCAGTGTGTGTAGTAAGATTGTGTGTGTGTGTGTGTGTGTCAGTGTGTGTAGTAAGATTGTGTGTGTGTGTGTGTGTGTGTGTGTGTGTGTAATAAGATTGTGTGTGTGTGTGTGTGTGTGTGTGTGTGTGTGTGTAATAAGATTGTGTGTGTGTGTGTGTAATAAGATTGTGTGTGCATGTGTGTAAGAAGACTGTGTGTGTGTGTGTGTAATAAGACTGTGTGTGTGTGTGTGTGTGTGTAATAAGATTGTGTGTGCATGTGTGTAAGAAGACTGTGTGTGTGTGTGTTGGTGTGTGTAGTACGATTGTGTGTGTGTGTGTGTGTATGTGTGTAATAAGACTGTGTGTGTGTAATTGTGTGTGTATGTATGTAATAAGATTGTGTGTGTGTGTGTGTCAGTGTGTGTAGTAAGATTGTGTGTGTGTGTGTGTCAGTGTGTGTAGTAAGATTGTGTGTGTGTGTGTGTGTGTCAGTGTGTGTAGTAAGATTGTGTGTGTGTGTGTGTGTGTAATAAGATTGTGTGTGTGTAATAAGATTGTGTGTGTGTGTGTGTGTGTGTGTGTAATAAGATTGTGTGTGTGTGTGTAATAAGATTGTGTGTGCATGTGTGTAAGAAGACTGTGTGTGTGTGTGTGTGTGTGTGTGTGTGTGTGTAATAAGATTGTGTGTGTGTGTAGTAAGATTGTGTGTGTAGGTGTGTGTGTGTGTGTGTGTATGTGTGTAATAAGACTGTGTGTGTGTGTGTGTAATTGTGTGTGTATGTATGTAATAAGATTGTGTGTGTGTGTGTCAGTGTGTGTAGTAAGATTGTGTGTGTGTGTGTGCGTGTGTAATAAGATTGTGTGTGTGTGTGTGTGTGTGTGTGTCGGTGTGTGTGTGAGACAGAGTCTGAGATTCTGAGCTTCATGTTTTCACATATAAAGTGAAAACCATGACTCAGAGATCTGAGTCGACATAAAACACTGAAAAGGTTCAAATAGAAAAACAGCCTTAAAAACATTTCAGACAGTAAAAATAATTAAAAATATTTAAAGAGTTCAGACATCTGTTATATTCTTCTACGAGTCCTGTAGGCCTCTTTAATTCAGCAAACCCATCGCCACCGACAAGTCATCACACTGCTTCTCTTCTGACTTCTCCTAATGATATGTCCCTGATGGGATGATGAAGATAAAAAACAGATTTAGAGAAGTAATATATATCTATTCATACATCAAAGGCCAATGGCTGAGAGTCTGTAATAAAATACATAACATTTTAATATTAACAAATGATTAATGAAGATTAAAACTAAGATTAGAAGGAGTCTATCCTTCTTTCACAGAAGGATTAAATAACATCGAATAATATTCTAAAATAACAATAATAACATTCTGAAATGTGTTGACTCTTATTTTCCTTTTCCCTTATTGATTATTAATCCTGTGAATAACTTCATTTCTAGTGGTCTACTGTAATCTGGATTATTATCTTTCTCTTATTTCTGTTTGTGTTACCAAAACTTAATGTAATCTTATTACTGCACTGAGAGAGAGAGAGAGAGAGAGAGAGAGAGAGAGATTTTTTTTTTATTTTTAACAGAGACTTTTATTCAGTCACTTCAAATCATGATTATAAACACTTCACACATAATGCGACGGCCACCAAACAATATCAGCCCCAAGGACTGGCAAGGACCAACTCTCCCTCCACCACAGTGCAAAACACGTTATTATAGCACCATTCAGAGTTGAACACTTCCAGGTTATTCATAGTTTTATAAAATTTAAACTCAAAAACAATCCTGGATTTCACTAGAGCAAGAAACAAAGGCAAAACCTCATGACCAGGTCTGTTCTCCACTTTGTTCCTTCTTGAATTATAAACAGCGAGCTTAGCCTGACCAACAGCAAAATTAAGTAGTTGCCATTTCGTTCTGTCTTTTCTGTTGTAACCAGCCCCCAAAAAGAAAACATGTGATGTAAAAAATTCACCACACATCATAAACAAGAAACCCAGTGTATCAAAGAGCGGTTTAAGTCTCACACGTTCTAAAAAGCAGTGAAAAACAGTCTCTCTAAAACCACAAAACACACATTTATCATCGACATGTGGGTTAATAACAGACACAAACGAGTTCACAGCTACAGCCCCGTGTAAAATTCTCCACTGGAGATCACCAGATCCCTTTGTTAGAGGGGGTTTGTACAACACCCTCCAGACCGGTCGCTTGTCTATCCCCAGCCCAAGTTTTCCTCTCCACACTGTGTCTGCCCTCCCGTTCAACACTGATTTATTAAAATGCCTCTGCCTCTGTTCATGTTCAGTGTGACTCTCACCCTCATCTCCAAACACCCATTTCAGGATGGAGCTCTGTAACAGTTCTGACTGTGAACAGATCCTCTGCTGTTTCACTGTTTACATGAGTGGATCTCCTTCAGTTCTACACTGATTCAGTGGATCATACAGTATCAGATAAACTTCAGATTCTCTGGTTAAACAAATGTAAACAGTAAGAAAATAAAAAAAACTCCAGTTTACCTCCTTACAGTTCTTCGTTTTCTGTAAACAGAGAAGATTAAGAATGAACACGAGCACACATGAAGAGAAAATCAGCAGGTGTTGATCTGTTTTCAAGGTAGCAGCTGTTTGTAGAATTAGTTACTGTTCATATTCTCACACTGCGTGTGTGAAATGTATTAAAGACAATATTTACATACAATATTTAGATTAAAAAAAAACAATTTAAAAATATTCCTCCACATTATTAATGAGGAACATAAACATGCAGAAATCATTTCAGAGTCTTACTCCATTAACCTGGTTCAGTGAACAGACTGTATGAACTAGTGTGACTAACAGGGCTGAGAGGGTCACTTTAAAATGTAGTCCAGTACAGATACTGACCACCTGTTAATAATATAAACAGTATCCTAATAATCCAAAGGGCTACTATAATAAAGTAGTGTAATATTGTTCTGAGACTAATTTGGCTACTGGACTCCAAAGCTATTATTTTCACAGGGCATGATGAGAAAACTGCCCTACTTGGTTCATCACACATTTCACAAGAACCCCAACTAACCTGCCTACTAACCTACTAATCCTCCACAGACAGGAGCTGGTAGAGCTTCAGTAGAGTCTGTCCATCATTAAAAGAGCTCTGATCCACACAGGCAGGACCTCACAATGCTCATTCACTCTCAGACTGCCTGAGTGGACTGCAGTGTAAAGAACAGTGCTGGACATCATGCACATTGTGTCCTTATTCATCAAACTTGTGTAGAGAAGAGCTCAGATCTGACCGCCCTGAATGAAGGACAGACTACTCTGAATCTGATTCAGGAAACTGGAGTAAGAAAACAGAGACAAGCTCTGATTTGAGCTCAACTGAAGAATCTTCAGAGGTGGAAACAAGCGCCTGTACACGAGTACCTCATTTACATATAATTAGCAGACACGCCTCAATTTACCTTCATAAACATATCATTTACATGAAGCACGCCGTAACTCATGCAGATGTTTCAGCAGGAAGCCTATAAAACATCAGCATTCAGCAGCTGTGAGTCAATGACTGTGCTTGTAAGCAGTTTGAGGCTGAGCAGTGAGTTCACAGCTCCCCCTACTGACCAAACTTTATAGTGTTAAAATTACGACCACTGGAAACAATTATATATGAAATAAACAGAACATGTCAGTTTGAAGAGAGCAGATATCCACACATCTCTTTAGCTCATTTCACATCAGCTCTTTATTATTCTTCTTTCTACTTATTGCTTTTTATTTTATTTGTCTCTTAGTTTAATACTTGTTATCAGTCTGTGTGTCTGCTCTGTTCAGTATGTCACATGTCACACATCTGTGACTCACCAAGACAAACTCCCTGTACAAGTAACACACTGAAATAAAGTGACTCTGATTATAAAGTAATGATAAGCTATCAGTCTGGCTGAAATGATTAGACATATGGAATGTAAGGACTGGTGCTGGACATCATTCACAGGCAGTTTGTTGAAGCAGACAGTGCCCTTCTGGAGCTGCTGCTCTGTTCATGTTCAGTGTGACTCTCACCCTCATCTCCAAACACCCGTTTCAGGATGGAGCTCTGTAACAGTTCTGACTGTGAACAGATCCTCTGCTGTTTCACTGTTTACATGTGTGGATCTCCTTCAGCTCTACACTGATTCAGTGGATCATACAGTATCAGATAAACTTCAGATTCTCTGGTTAAACAAATGTAAACAGTAAGAAAATAAAAACTCTAGTTTACCTGTGTTCAGTTCTTCCACTGCTGTAAACAGAGAAGATTAAGAATGAACACGAGCACACATGAAGAGAAAATCAGGTGTTGATCTGTTTTCAAGGTAGCAGCTGTTTTGTAGAATTAGTTACTGTTCATATTCTCACACTGTGTGTGTGAAATGTATTAAAGACAATATTTACATACAATATTTAGATAAAAAAAAACAATTAAAAATATTTCTCCACATTATTAATGAGGAACATAAACATGCAGAAATCATTTCAGAGTCTTACTCCATTAACCTGGTTCAGTGAACAGACTGTATGAACTAGTGTGACTAACAGGGCTGAGAGGGTCACTTTAAAATGTAGTCCAGTACAGATACTGACCACCTGTTAATAATATAAACAGTATCCTAATAATCCAAAGGGCTACTATAATAAAGTAGTGGAATATTGTTGGTAACACTTTACATTAAGGGTCGCTAATCAATCATTATTTACATAATAATCAACTATTCATTTCCCATTATTTAGTTATTAGTTAACTCTTCATTAAGCATTAGCTATTACTTAGTAATTGATTAAGCACTTATCAACTAGTAATTAAGTACACTGTTAGGTCATAAGTTAGTTTGTCGTTAGTTTATGTCTTACTTACTCATTATCTGTGTGCTAATTGCTGCTTATTACATTGTTAATTAACTAATAAGTATTTTTCTTCATATAAAGAAGTAATGTAATAACTTACTAGTACTTATGTGTTAATCCCGCTAATTATCTGTTACTTAACTTTCCATCACCTCTATATATTCAGTTGCTTCACTTTTCTCACTTTGGTTCTTGTTCATTAAAGATGCTTATGGTCACATCTGACTGTAAGATGAGTGCACACAAATTCACTGACCGTTTTGTTATTCATCACGTTCATCTTGGCATATCTGTACTCATATCTGGTAGGAGTGCATGTAAATTTGGGCATAAATGCTGGATATGTGGCTAATTAACCAAAACTATTATCAACATAATCTGTAATAGCAAAAATAAAAACAACAATAGAAAATATCAATAATACTAATTTGTGTGCGTGACAGTCCAGTACAAAAGTGGATGTACTGACTTTACATGCACATTGAAATATTGATATAAACAAGTGCTGCAACTATTTCATGTTCCATTTAAAGACACATTACACTGTGCTTTTGTTTCATACTACTGACTCACAAACAAAGCTTCGGTCATACACTGCAATAATACAGCGTTTATTTTAGGGAATTAACTACACTAAACAATCACTCTACTATGTTAACAACACTGAGTGTTCAGTTTTATTTCACATTTAATTTTTTTCCAGTTGTTTTCATTTTAATACTATTAAGTTTGGTCAGCAGGGGAGGAGTGCACTCACTGCTGGACATCAAACTCCACCCACGAGCTCGGCCATTAGCTTTCATGCCAAACACTGCTGTTTTATTGGCTGGCTACTGAAACATCTGCATGAATTAGGGTGTGCTTCATGTAAATGATATGTAAATGAGGTGCTGGTCGGCTGGTTTCATGCACTGAAGCTGATTTATCATTTATGCTCAAATCTCCACTTGTTTCCACATCGTACAAAGTTATTATGAATCAGACGCAGAGCAGTTCAAACCTTATAAAAGGCAAAAACGTGTTCTTTTTTACGTAACTTTGATGATTAATGGCCATTTTCACAAGATTCGTGACTACTTCCGGTTTAATCATTAGCAGGGTAAAACTCACTTCCTCTCCATATAGGTTAGTTAACTACTGCAGACGCGATGTCAGAGTGTTTAGTAGTGAACTATAGTGATCAAACTCTGAGCTCCAGCAGCTGTACTGTAGTGATCAGACTCTGAGCTCCAGCAGCTGTACTGTAGTGATCAGACTCTGAGCTCCAGCAGCTGTACTGTAGCGCTCAGACTCTGAGCTCCAGCATCTGTACTGTAGCGCTCAGACTCTGAGCTCCAGCAGCTGTACTGTAGCGATCAGACTCTGAGCTCCAGCAGCTGTACTGTAGCGATCAGACTCTGAGCTCCAGCAGCTGTACTGTAGCGCTCAGACTCTGAGCTCCAGCAGCTGTACTGTAGCGATCAGACTCTGAGCTCCAGCAGCTGTACTGTAGCGATCAGACTCTGAGCTCCAGCAGCTGTACTGTGGCGATCAGACTCTGAGCTCCAGCAGCTGAACTGTAGTGATCAGACTCTGAGCTCCAGCAGCTATACTGTGGTGTTCCTGCTCGGCTGTGACAGTGAGAGTAAGAAGTGAACTGAAGCTCTGATTGAACTGTAAACAGAGCTGAGACGCTGTGTGTTGTTTTTACTGCAGTTCTGCTGCAGCTGCTTCACATCAGGCCGTCTCTGTGTCTTTGTACAACACGCCAGCGATTTCTGTAATCTTCAGTTTTCAAGAGAAAGAAGAGCTTTTATATGCAGCATGAATGTTATAGACTCTGTTTATATTAAACTAGCTATACTGGTTAGAAGCTACTGCTAGCCAGACTAGCCCGGCTAACATGAAGCAGCTTTTTCAAACGTCACAGCAGAACCGCGATGCTAACATGCAAGTTAGGTTAGCTCGGAGTCTCGTTTTTACTGAGCAGTGAAAGGTGGATGTTTTCTGAAGTGCTGCTTCAAAAATCGCCATGAATCTATAAGAGTAATGCTGTTTGGCAGATCGCTAACACAGCCAGCGTTAGGGCTAACTTAGCTTTAAAGTCTGCTGCTCATGAAGCTGGAGCTCAAACTGCTAATGGTAGGCCTGCTAATTAGCGACTGTAGCCTGCTAGCCGACCGTAAGCTAATACAGTGTAAACGAGGTCTGTAAAACAGACTTTACATGTAGAAGTGTTTGTTTGTGTTGATGTCAGAAGTCTCTGCATCCTGTAGCTCAATGTGTCACAGAACCTGCTCCACGTTAGCCGGCTGGTGGCAGCAGCTGATGAAAGCTAACTAGCTTCCTTATTTTGGGAACACAGCTACAGTTAGAAATGGCTTCTAGCATTGCTCGCTAACCCAGCTACAGCTAAACAACGTCTACCAAATTCATACGACACAGAAGAACTTTAATTTCTTTAAAAACAGAAATATTACAGAAATCGCTGGCGTGTTGTTCAGCTACAGAGACACAGCTTGATGTGAGCAGCTGCAGCAGCAGTAAGCAGGGCTCCTCCACACAGCATTTCAGCTGTGTTTACAGTTAAATCAGGGCTTCCATTCACTTCCTTTAGTCATGATAGTGCACGAACACTAACATATGTCTGTTGTAGCTCAGTATTGGAGCATTATAGTTCACTGCTAATGCTTAATCCGGACGTCATCACGACTCTTTGTGAAAAGGGCCCATGATCATTAGATCTTTACATTTTGACCATTAATTGCTTCTTAAATTCCTCTTACTTAACCATTAATTACTGCTTTTGTGTTGTCACTTTACTTGGAGGGACACAAAAGCAGTAATTAATGGTTAAGTAAGAGGAATTTAAGAAGCTATGAATGGTTGATTAAGTAGAATATAAGAAGTAATTAATGGTCAAAATGTAAAGATCTAATGGCCATTAATCATCAAAGTTACGTAAAAAAGAACACGTTTTTGCCTTTTATAAGGTCTGAACTGCTCTGCGTCTGATTTATAATAATTTTGTACAATGTGGAAACAAGTGGAGATTTGAGCATAAATGATAAATCAGCTTCAGTGCATGAAACCAGCCGACCAGCACCTCATTTACATATCATTTACATGAAGCACACCCTAATTCATGCAGATGTTTCAGTAGCCAGCCAATAAAACAGCAGTGTTTGGCATGAAAGCTAATGGCCGAGCTCGTGGGTGGAGTTTGGTGTCCAGCAGTGAGTGCACTCCTCCCCTGCTGACCAAACTTAATAGTATTAAAATGAAAACAACTGGAAAAAAATTAAATGTGAAATAAAACAAAACACTCAGTGTTGTTAACATAGTAGAGTGATTGTTTAGTGTAGTTAATTCCCTAAAATAAACGCTGTATTATTGCAGTGTATGACCGAAGCTGTGTTTGTGAGTCAGTAGTATGAAACAAAAGCACAGTGTAATGTGTCTTTAAATGGAACATGAAATAGTTACAGCACTTGTTTATATCAATGTGCATGTAAAGTCAGTACATCCACTTTTGTACTGGACTGTCACGCACACAAATTAGTATTATTGATATTTTCTATTGTTGTTTTTATTTTTGCTATTACAGATTATGTTGATAATAGTTTTGGTTAATTAGCCACATATCCAGCATTTATATACATGCATTTATATACATGCACTCCTACCAGATATGAGTACAGATATGCCAAGATGAACGTGATGAATAACAAAACGGTCAGTGAATTTGTGTGCACTCATCTTACAGTCAGATGTGACCATAAGCATCTTTAATGAACCAAAGTGAGAAAAGTGAAGCAACTGAATATATAGAGGTGATGGAAAGTTAAGTAACAGATAATTAAAGGGATTAACACATAAGTACTAGTAAGTTATTACATTACTTCTTTATATGAAGAAAAATACTTATTAGTTAATTAACAATGTAATAAGCAGCAATTAGCACACAGATAATGAGTAAGTAAGACAAACTAACGACAAACTAATTTATCAACTAACAGTGTGCTTAATTACTAATTGATAAGTGCTTACTATTTAATAGTACTAAGTAATAGCAAATGCCTAAAGAAGAGTTAACTAATAACTAAATAATGGGAAACTCATAGTTGATTATTATATATTTAATGATTGATTAGCGACCCTTAATGTAAAGTGTTACCATATTGTTCTGAGAGTAATTTGGCTACTGGACTCCAAAGCTATTATTTTCACAGGGCATGATGAGAAAACTGTCCTACTTGGTTCATCACACATTTCACAAGAACCCTAACTAACCTGCCTACTAACCTACTAATTCTCCACAGACAGGAGCTGGTAGAGCTTCAGTAGAGTCTGTCCATCATTAAAAGAGCTCTGATCCACACAGGCAGGACCTCACAATGCAAATTCCTTCCCAGACTGCCTGAGTGGACTGCAGTGTAAAGAACAGTGCTGGACATCATTCACATTGTGTCCTTATTCATCGAACTTGTGTAGAGAAGAGCTCAGATCTGACCGCCCTGAATGAAGGACAGACTACTCTGAATCTGATTCAGGAAACTGGAGTAAGAAAACAGAGACAAGCTCTGATTTGAGCACAACTGAAGAATCTTCAGATGTGGAAACAAGCGCCTGTACACGAGTACCTCATTTACATATAATTAGCAGACACGCCTCAATTTACCTTCATAAACATATCATTTACATGAAGCACGACGTAACTCATGCAGATGTTTCAGCAGGAAGCCTATAAAACATCAGCATTCAGCAGCTGTGAGTCAATGACTGTGCTTGTAAGCAGTTTGAGGCTGAGCAGTGAGTGCACAGCTCCCCCTACTGACCAAACTTTATAGTGTTAATTACGACCAATGGAAACAAAAAAATATGAATAAACAGAACATGTCAGTTTGAAGAGAGCAGATATCCACACACCTCTTTAGCTCATTTCACATCAGCTCTTTATTATTCTTCTTTCTACTTATTGCTTTTTATTTTATTTGTCTCTTAGTTTAATTCTTGTTATCAGTCTGTGTGTCTGCTCTGTTCAGTATGTCACATGTCACACATCTGTGACTCACCAAGACAAACTCCCTGTACAAGTAACACACTTGGTGAAATAAAGTGACTCTGATTATAAAGTAATGATAAGCTATCAGTCTGGCTGAAATGATTAGAGATATGGAATGTAAGGACTGGTGCTGGACATCATTCACAGGCAGTTTGTTGAAGCAGACAGTGCCCTTCTGGAGCTGCTGCTCTGTTCATGTTCAGTGTGACTCTCACCCTCATCTCCAAACACCCATTTCAGGATGGAGCTCTGTAACAGTTCTGACTGTGAACAGATCCTCTGCTGTTTCACTGTTTACATGTGTGGATCTCCTTCAGCTCTACACTGATTCAGTGGATCATACAGTATCAGATAAACTTCAGATTCTCTGGTTAAACAAATGTAAACAGTAAGAAAATAAAAACTCTAGTTTACCTCTCATCAGTTCTTCCTTTACTGTCCTTTCTGTAAACAGAGAAGATTAAGAATGAACACGAGCACACATGAAGAGAAAATCAGCAGGTGTTGATCTGTTTTCAAGGTAGCAGCTGTTTGTAGAATTAGTTACTGTTCATATTCTCACACTGTGTGTGTGAAATGTATTAAAGAAAATATTTACATACAACATTTAGATTTCCAAAAAAAAAAAACAATTTAAAAATATTTCTCCACATTATTAATGAGGAACATAAACATGCAGAAATCATTTCAGAGTCTTACTCCATTAACCTGGTTCAGTGAACAGACTGTATGAACTAGTGTGACTAACAGGGCTGAGAGGGTCACTTTAAAATGTAGTCCAGTACAGATACTGACCACCTGTTAATAATATAAACAGTATCCTAATAATCCAAGGGGCTACTATAATAAAGTAGTGGAATATTGTTCTAAACAGTAACAAAACAGAGGTTGTCCTTCTGGGTCCAAAAGTGGCAAGAAATCAATGATCAGATTTAACTTTAAATCTTGCTGACTTTCCAGTTATACCTGGATCAGCAGCAAAAAATCTTGGTGTAATACTCGATCCAGATTTATCATTCGAACAACACATAGGCAGCATCACTAGGACAGCTTTTTTACATCTTCGCAACATCGCCAGAATAAGAAATGCCTTATCGCTGCACGATGCAGAAACATTAGTACATGCCTTTATTACTTCAAGGCTAGACTACTGTAAACGCACTACTATCAGGATGCACCAGCAGGAATTTAAGTGAACTTCAACTAGTTCAAAATGCTGCAGCCAGGGTTCTCACTAAAACTAGAACATTTGATCATATCAGTCCAGTTCTATCATCACTTCATTGGCTGCCTGTTAAACTCCGTATTGATTACAAAATTCTCTTATTGACGTATAAAGCCCTACATGGGCTCGCTCCTGAGTACCTGCAAGACCTTATTTCCCATTACAAGCCACCACGATTACTCAGATCACAGAGTGCTGGCTTTGTAATAGTTCCCAGAATTCAGAAGGCTTCATCTGGGGGAAGAGCCTTTTCTTATAAAGCCCCCAAACTCTGGAATGATCTTCCAGAAAATGTTCGGGACTCAGACTCAGTCGCAATCTTCAAATCTAGGCTGAAAAGTCACTTGTTTAGTCTAGCTATTGGTAGTTAATGTTTCCCCTTGGATAAAGGCAGCAGGTCCAGGGGTCCATGGACACAGGGAATTATAGTAAACTGAGACGCTGGTGCTGTTGTGCCGCCACTCGCACGCGAACACTCAGGTTTGTGGACGGTGGAGCGGAGGGATGCCAAATTGTCCCAGGGTGCTCCCGTGTCTGTGTGCCCTTTTGGTTCTCTCCTTTTAGTTAAGCTGTTCTAGTCAGATCTGCCGGAGTCGTTAGCCACACTCTGGAAATGTTTTACAAATTATTATACATACGCCCATACAGAACTAAACTAACTCCATTTCCCTACCTTTCCTCCGAGAAAACGACTGCCCACCTGTCCGGCCGGACACTGCTGGATGATTGTTTGTAGAGCTCTCCGGCTACCCGCTTCAGACCAGTTGCCCACGCCCCAGTCACCACCACCTGCCTTGGACTGGCTGCCCACTCTACACTGAAGTGGACTCCTAACTATTACTACTACTACTACTATTAATATTAGTAGTATAATAATTTTGTAGGAAGTTTGACCAGAGGAGGATGCGTCCCCCCTTGTGAGCCTTGGTTCCTCCCAAGGTTTCTTCCTCAGCTCTGAGGGAGTTTTTCCTTGCCACTGTCGCCCCTGGCTCGCTCACCTGGAGGATTTACATTTCATGTTGAAACTTGGTCCTAAATGGATTTCTGTGAAGCTGCGTTGTGACAACAGCAGTTGTAAAAAAGCACTATACAAATAAATTTGACTTGACTTGACTTCTGAGAGTAATTTGGCTACTCCAAAAGCTATTATTTTCAAAGGGCATGATGAGAAAACTGCCCTACTTGTTTCATCACACATTTCACAAGAACCCCAACTAACCTGCCTACTAACCTATCAATTCTCCACAAACAGGAGCTGGTAGAGCTTCAGTAGAGTCTGTCCATCATTAAAAGAGCTCTGATCCACACAGGCAGGACCTCACAATGCTCATTCATTCTCAGACTGCCTGAGTGGACTGCAGTGTAAAGAACAGTGCTGGACATCATTCACATTGTGTCCTTATTCATCAAACTTGTGTAGAGAAGAGCTCAGATCTGACTGCCCTGAATGAAGGACAGACTACTCTGCATCTGATTCAGGAAACTGGAGTAAGAAAACAGAGACAAGCTCTGATTTGAGCTCAACTGATGAATCTTCAGAGGTGGAAACAAGCGCCTGTACACGAGTACCTCATTTACATATAATTAGCAGACACGCCTCAATTTACCTTCATAAACATATCATTTACATGAAGCACGCCGTAACTCATGCAGATGTTTCAGCAGGAAGCCTATAAAACATCAGCATTCAGCAGCTGTGAGACAATGGCTGTGCTTGTAAGCAGTTTGAGGCTGAGCAGTGAGTGCACAGCTCCCCCTACTGACCAAACTTTATAGTGTTAATTACAACCAATGGAAACAATAAAATATGAATAAACAGAACATGTCAGTTTGAAGAGAGCAGATATCCACACATCTCTTTAGCTCATTTCACATCAGCTCTTTATTATTCTTCTTTCTACTTATTGTTTATTTTATTTGTCTCTTAATTTAATACTTGTTATCAGTCTGTGTGTCTGCTCTGTTCAGTATGTCACATGTCACACATCTGTGACTCACCAAGACAAACTCCCTGTACAAGTAACACACTTGGTGAAATAAAGTGACTCTGATTATAAAGTAATGATAAGCTATCAGTCTGGCTGAAATGATTAGACATATGGAATGTAAGGACTGGTGCTGGACATCATTCACAGGCAGTTTGTTGAAGCAGACAGTGCCCTTCTGGAGCTGCTGCCTCTGTTCATGTTCAGTGTGACTCTCACCCTCATCTCCAAACACCCATTTCAGGATGGAGCTCTGTAACAGTTCTGACTGTGAACAGATCCTCTGCTGTTTCACTGTTTACATGTGTGGATCTCCTTCAGCTCCACACTGATTCAGTGGATCATACAGTATCAGATAAACTTCAGATTCTCTGGTTAAACAAAGTAAACAGTAAGAAAATAAAAACTCTAGTTTACCTCTCATCAGTTCTTCCTTTACTGTCCTTTCTGTAAACAGAGAAGATTAAGAATGAACACGAGCACACATGAAGAGAAAATCAGCAGGTGTTGATCTGTTTACAAGGTAGCAGCTGTTTGTAGAATTAGTTACTGTTCATATTCTCACACTGTGTGTGTGAAATGTATTAAAGACAATATTTACATACAATATTTAGATAAAAAAAACAATTTAAAAATATTTCTCCACATTATTAATGAGGAACATAAACGTGCAGAAATCATTTCAGAGTCTTACTCCATAAACCTGGTTCAGTGAACAGACTGTATGAACTAGTGTGACTAACAGGGCTGAGAGGGTCACTTTAAAATGTAGTCCAGTACAGATACTGACCACCTGTTAATACTATAAACAGTATCCTAATAATCCAAAGGGCTACTATAATAAAGTAGTGTAATATTGTTCTGAGACTAATTTGGCTACTGGACTCCAAAGCTATTATTTTCACAGGGCATGATGAGAAAACTGCCCTACTTGGTTCATCACACATTTCACAAGAACCCTAACTAACCTGCCTATTAACCTACTAATTCCCCACAGACAGGAGTTGGTAGAGCTTCAGTAGAGTCTGTCCATCATTAAAAGAGCTCTGATCCACACAGGCAGGACCTCACAATGCTCATTCATTCTCAGACTGCCTGAGTGGACTGCAGTGTAAAGAACAGTGCTGGACATCATTCACATTGTGTCCTTATTCATCAAACTTGTGTAGAGAAGAGCTCAGATCTGACCGCCCTGAATGAAGGACAGACTACTCTGAATCTGATTCAGGAAACTGGAGTAAGAAAACAGAGACAAGCTCTGATTTGAGCTCAACTGATGAATCTTCAGAGGTGGAAACAAGCGCCTGTACACGAGTACCTCATTTACATATAATTAGCAGACACGCCTCAATTTACCTTCATAAACATATCATTTACATGAAGCACGCCATAACTCATGCAGATGTTTCAGCAGGAAGCCTATAAAACATCAGCATTCAGCAGCTGTGAGTCAATGACTGTGCTTGTAAGCTGAGTTTGAGGCTGAGCAGTGAGTGCACAGCTTCCCCTACTGACCAAACTTTATAGTGTTAAAATTACGACCACTGTAAACAATAAAATATGAAATAAACAAAAACGTGTCAGTTTGAAGAGAGCAGATATCCACACATCTCTTTAGCTCATTTCACATCAGCTCTTTATTATTCTTCTTTCTACTTATTGTTTTTTATTTTATTTGTCTCTTAATTTAATTCTTGTTATCAGTCTGTGTGTCTGCTCTGTTCAGTATGTCACATGTCACACATCTGTGACTCACCAAGACAAACTCCCTGTACAAGTAACACACTTGGTGAAATAAAGGGACTCTGATTATAAAGTAATGATAAGCTATCAGTCTGGCTGAAATGATTAGAGATATGGAATGTAAGGACTGGTGCTGGACATCATTCACAGGCAGTTTGTTGAAGCAGACAGTGCCCTTCTGGAGCTGCTGCTCTGTTCATGTTCAGTGTGACTCTCACCCTCATCTCCAAACACCCATTTCAGGATGGAGCTCTGTAACAGTTCTGACTGTGAACAGATCCTCTGCTGTTCCACTGTTTACATGTGTGGATCTCCTTCAGCTCCACACTGATTCAGTGGATCATACAGTATCAGATAAACTTCAGATTCTCTGGTTAAACAAATGTAAACAGTAAGAAAATAAAAACTCCACTTTACCTCTTATCAGTTCTTCCACTGCTGTAAACAGAGAAGATTAAGAATGAACACGAGCACACATGAAGAGAAAATCAGGTGTTGATCTGTTTTCAAGGTAGCAGCTGTTTGTAGAATTAGTTACTGTTCATATTCTCACACTGTGTGTGTGAAATGTATTAAAGAAAATATTTACATACAATATTTAGATGAAAAAAAAACAATTTAAAAATATTTCTCCACATTATTAATGAGGAACATAAACATGCAGAAATCATTTCAGAGTCTTACTCCATTAACCTGGTTCAGTGAACAGACTGTATGAACTAGTGTGACTAACAGGGCTGAGAGGGTCACTTTAAAATGTAGTCCAGTACAGATACTGACCACCTGTTAATAATATAAACAGTATCCTAATAATCCAAAGGGCTACTATAATAAAGTAGTGGAATATTGTTGGTAACACTTTACATTAAGGGTCGCTAATCAATCATTATTTACATAATAATCAACTATTCATTTCCCATTATTTAGTTATTAGTTAACTCTTCATTAAGCATTAGCTATTACTTAGTAATTGATTAAGCACTTATCAACTAGTAATTAAGTACACTGTTAGGTCATAAGTTAGTTTGTCGTTAGTTTATGTCTTACTTACTCATTATCTGTGTGCTAATTGCTGCTTATTACATTGTTAATTAACTAATAAGTATTTTTCTTCATATAAAGAAGTAATGTAATAACTTACTAGTACTTATGTGTTAATCCCGCTAATTATCTGTTACTTAACTTTCCATCACCTCTATATATTCAGTTGCTTCACTTTTCTCACTTTGGTTCTTGTTCATTAAAGATGCTTATGGTCACATCTGACCGTAAGATGAGTGACCACAAATTCACTGACCGTTTTGTTATTCATCACGTTCATCTTGGCATATCTGTACTCATATCTGGTAGGAGTGCATGTAAATTTGGGCATAAATGCTGGATATGTGGCTAATTAACCAAAACTATTATCAACATAATCTGTAATAGCAAAAATAAAAACAACAATAGAAAATATCAATAATACTAATTTGTGTGCGTGACAGTCCAGTACAAAAGTGGATGTACTGACTTTACATGCACATTGATATAAACAAGTGCTGTAACTATTTCATGTTCCATTTAAAGACACATTACACTGTGCTTTTGTTTCATACTACTGACTCACAAACACAGCTTCGGTCATACACTGCAATAATACAGCGTTTATTTTAGGGAATTAACTACACTAAACAATCACTCTACTATGTTAACAACACTGAGTGTTTTGTTTTATTTCACATTTAATTTTTTTCCAGTTGTTTTCATTTTAATACTATTAAGTTTGGTCAGCAGGGGAGGAGTGCACTCACTGCTGGACACCAAACTCCACCCACGAGCTCGGCCATTAGCTTTCATGCCAAACACTGCTGTTTTATTGGCTGGCTACTGAAACATCTGCATGAATTAGGGTGTGCTTCATGTAAATGATATGTAAATGAGGTGCTGGTAGGCTGGTTTCATGCACTGAAGCTGATTTATCATTTATGCTCAAATCTCCACTTGTTTCCACATCATACAAAGTTATCATGAATCAGACGCAGAGCAGTTCAAACCTTATAAAAGGCAAAAACGTGTTCTTTTTTACGTAACTTTGATGATTAATGGCCATTTTCACAAGATTCGTGACTACTTCCGGTTTAATCGTTAGCAGGGTAAAACTCACTTCCTCTCTATATAAGTTAGTTAACTACTGCAGACGCGATGTCAGAATGTTTAGTAGTGAACTATAGTGATCAAACTCTGAGCTCCAGCAGCTGTACTGTGGTGATCAGACTCTGAGCTCCAGCAGCTGTACTGTAGTGATCAGACTCTGAGCTCCAGCAGCTGTACTGTGGTTATCAGACTCTGAGCTCCAGCAGCTGTACTGTAGTGATCAGACTCTGAGCTCCAGCAGCTGTACTGTAGTGATCAAACTCTGAGCTCCAGCAGCTGTACTGTAGTGATCAGACTCTGAGCTCCAGCAGCTGTACTGTAGTGATCAAACTCTGAGCTCCAGCAGCTGTACTGTGGTGATCAGACTCTGAGCTCCAGCAGCTGTACTGTAGTGATCAGACTCTGAGCTTCAGCAGCTGTACTGTGGTGTTCCTGCTCGGCTGTGACAGTGAGAGTAAGAAGTGAACTGAAGCTCTGATTGAACTGTAAACAGAGCTGAGACGCTGTGTGTTGTTTTTACTGCAGTTCTGCTGCAGCTGCTTCACATCAGGCCGTCTCTGTGTCTTTGTACAACACGCCAGCGATTTCTGTAATCTTCAGTTTTCAAGAGAAAGAAGAGCTTTTATATGCAGCATGAATGTTATAGACTCTGTTTATATTAAACTAGCTATACTGGTTAGAAGCTACTGCTAACCAGACTAGCCCGGCTAACATGAAGCAGCTTTTTCAAACGTCACAGCAGAACCGCGATGCTAACATACAAGTTAGGTTAGCTCGGAGTCTCGTTTTTACTGAGCAGCGAAAGGTGGATGTTTTCTGAAGTGCTGCTTCAAAAATCGCCATGAATCTATAAGAGTAATGCTGTTTGGCAGATCGCTAACACAGCCAGCGTTAGGGCTAACTTAGCTTTAAAGTCTGCTGCTCATACGAAGCTGGAGCTCAAACTGCTAATGGTAGGCCTGCTAATTAGCGACTGTAGCCTGCTAGCCGACCGTAAGCTAACACAGTGTAAACGAGGTCTGTAAAATATAGTTTACATGTAGAAGTGTTTGTTTGTGTTGATGTCAGAAGTCTCTGCATCCTGTAGCTAAATGTGCCACAGAACCTGCTCCACGTTAGCGGGCTGGTGGCAGCAGCTGATGAAAGCTAACTAGCTTCCTTATTTTGGGAACACAGCTACAGTTAGAAATGGCTTCTAGCATTGCTAGCTAACCTAGCTACAGCTAAACAACGTCTACCAAATTCATACTACACAGAAGAACTTTAATTTCTTTAAAAACAGAAATATTACAGAAATCGCTGGCGTGTTGTTCAGCTACAGAGACACTGCTTGATGTGAGCAGCTGCAGCAGCAGTAAGCAGGGCTTCACCACACACAGCGTTTCAGCTGTGTTTACAGTTAAATCAGTGCTTCCATTCACTTCCTTTAGTCATGATAGTGCACAAAAACTGACATATGTCTGTTGTAGCTCAGTGTTTGAGCATTATAGTTCACTGCTAATGCTTAATCGCGACTCTAATCGCGACTCTTTGTGAAAAGGGCCCATGGCCATTAGATCTTTACATTTTGACCATTAATTACTTCTTAAATTCCACTTAATCAACCATTCATTGCTTCTTAAATTCCTCTTACTTAACCATTAATTACTGCTTTTGTGTCCCTCCAAGTAAAGTGACAACACAAAAGCAGTAATTAATGGTTAAGTAAGAGGAATTTAAGAAGCAATGAATGGTTGATTAAGTAGAATATAAGAAGTAATTAATGGTCAAAATGTAAAGATCTAATGGCCATTAATCATCAAAGTTACGTAAAAAAGAACACGTTTTTGCCTTTTATAAGGTCTGAACTGCTCTGCGTCTGATTCATAATAATTTTGTACAATGTGGAAACAAGTGGAGATTTGAGCAAAAATAATAAATCAGCTTCAGTGCATGAAACCAGCCGACCAGCACCTCATTTACATATTATTTACATGAAGCTCACACTAATTCATGCATATGTTTCAGTAGCCAGCCAATAAAACAGCAGTGTTTGGCATGAAAGCTAATGGCCGAGCTCGTGGGTGGAGTTTGGTGTCCAGCAGTGAGTGCACTCCTCCCCTGCTGACCAAACTTAATAGTATTAAAATGAAAACAACTGGAAAAAAATTAAATGTGAAATAAAACAAAACACTCAGTGTTGTTAACATAGTAGAGTGATTGTTTAGTGTAGTTAATTCCCTAAAATAAACGCTGTATTATTGCAGTGTATGACCGAAGCTTTGTTTGTGAGTCAGTAGTATGAAACAAAAGCACAGTGTAATGTGTCTTTAAATGGAACATGAAATAGTTGCAGCACTTGTTTATATCAATGTGCATGTAAAGTCAGTACATCCACTTTTGTACTGGACTGTCACGCACACAAATTAGTATTATTGATATTTTCTATTGTTGTTTTTATTTTTGCTATTACAGATTATGTTGATAATAGTTTTGGTTAATTAGCCACATATCCAGCATTTATATACATGCACTCCTACCAGATATGAGTACAGATATGCCAAGATGAACGTGATGAATAACAAAACGGTCAGTGAATTTGTGGTCACTCATCTTACGGTCAGATGTGACCATAAGCATCTTTAATGAACCAAAGTGAGAAAAGTGAAGCAACTGAATATATAGAGGTGATGGAAAGTTAAGTAACAGATAATTAAAGGGATCAACACATAAGCACTAGTAAGTTATCACGTTACTTCTTTATATGAAGAAAAATACTTATTTAATTAACAATGTAATAAGCACCAATTAGCACACAGATAATGAGTAAGTAAGACATAAACTAACGACAAACTAATTTATCAACTAACAGTGTGCTTAATTACTAATTGATAAGTGCTTACTATTTAATAGTACTAAGTAATAGCTAATGCTTAAAGAAGAGTTAACTAATAACTGAATAATGGGAAACTCATAGTTGATTATTATATATTTAATGATTGATTAGCGACCCTTGATGTGTTACCATATGGTTCTGAGAGTAATTTGGCTACTGGACTCCAAAGCTATTATTTTCACAGGGCATGATGAGAAAACTGCCCTACTTGGTTCATCACACATTTCACAAGAACCCCAACTAACCTGCCTACTAACCTACTAATCCTCCACAGACAGGAGCTGGTAGAGCTTCAGTAGAGTCTGTCCATCATTAAAAGAGCTCTGATCCACACAGGCAGGACCTCACAATACTCATTCACTCTCAGACTGCCTGAGTGGACTGCAGTGTAAAGAACAGTGCTGGACATCATTCACATTGTGACCTTATTCATCAAACTTGTGTAGAGAAGAGCTCAGATCTGACCGCCCTGAATGAAGGACAGACTACTCTGAATCTGATTCAGGAAACTGGAGTAAGAAAACAGAGACAAGCTCTGATTTGAGCACAACTGAAGAATCTTCAGAGGTGGAAACAAGCGCCTGTACACGAGTACCTCATTTACATATAATTAGCAGACACGCCTCAATTTACCTTCATAAACATATCATTTACATGAAGCATGCCGTAACTCATGCAGATGTTTCAGCAGGAAGCCTATAAAACATCAGCATTCAGCAGCTGTGAGTCAATGACTGTGCTTGTAAGCTGAGTTTGAGGCTGAGCAGTGAGTGCACAACTCCCCCTACTGACCAAACTATATAGTGTTAAAATTACGACCACTGGAAACAATAAAATATGAAATAAACAGAACGTGTCAGTTTGAAGAGAGCAGATATCTACACATCTCTTTAGCTCATTTCACATCAGCTCTTCATTATTCTTCTTTCTACTTATTGTTTATTTTATTTGTCTCTTAGTTTAATTCTTGTTATCAGTCTGTGTGTCTGCTCTGTTCAGTATGTCACATGTCACACATCTGTGACTCACCAAGACAAACTCCCTGTACAAGTAACACACTTGGTGAAATAAAGTGACTCTGATTATAAAGTAATGATAAGCTATCAGTCTGGCTGAAATGATTAGACATATGGAATGTAAGGACTGGTGCTGGACATCATTCACAGGCAGTTTGTTGAAGCAGACAGTGCCCTTCTGGAGCTGCTGCCTCTGTTCATGTTCAGTGTGACTCTCACCCTCATCTCCAAACACCCATTTCAGGATGGAGCTCTGTAACAGTTCTGACTGTGAACAGATCCTCTGCTGTTCCACTGTTTACATGTGTGGATCTCCTTCAGCTCCACACTGATTCAGTGGATCATACAGTATCAGATAAACTTCAGATTCTCTGGTTAAACAAATGTAAACAGTAAGAAAATAAAAACTCTAGTTTACCTCTCATCAGCTCTTCCTTTACTGTCCTTTCTGTAAACAGAGAAAATTAAGAATGAACACGAGCACACATGAAGAGAAAATCAGCAGGTGTTGATCTGTTTTCAAGGTAGCAGCTGTTTGTAGAATTAGTTACTGTTCATATTCTCACACTGTGTGTGTGAAATGTATTAGAGACAATATTTACATACAATATTTTGATAAAAAAAAAAACAATTAAAAATATTTCTCCACATTATTAATGAGGAACATAAACATGCAGAAATCATTTCAGAGTCTTACTCCATAAACCTGGTTCAGTGAACAGACTGTATGAACTAGTGTGACTAACAGGGCTGAGAGGGTCACTTTAAAATGTAGTCCAGTACAGATACTGACCACCTGTTAATAATATAAACAGTAACCTAATAATCCAACGGGCTACTATAATAAAGTAGTGTAATATTGTTCTAAACAGTAACAAATCAGAGGTTCTCCTTCTGGGTGTCACGGATTCCTTCTTTTGTCCCTCTGAGTGTCTTTCCTCCCCTCTGTTGTAGCCATGTGTCTTTTGTTTTCTTGTACCTTGTGCTTTTGTTGTTGCTCTGTGTCTTCTCCCTGGTCCTGGCCCCTTGTTATCTGTTCCACCTGCCTGTTGCTCCGCCCCTCATTAGTCCCAGGTGTGTCGCATTTCCCCTCTGTGTATTTATACCCCTGTGTTTGTTTAGTCTTTGTCTTGCATTGTGGATATAACCTTGTGTCTTGTTTGCTTGTTGGTTTGGTTTTTGCCATGGACTCTAGTTTCAATAAAAACTTGCATTTGCATCCCGCCTCCATGCCTCAAACGTTATAGAATGCAAGACCACACATGGAAGCAGCGAGTTTACAGAACCTTATTAAGGAGAATGAAGTCAGACTTCAGAAGTTACCATCTGCTTTGTTGGCTTCAGTTGTTGCTCCCTGGTACGGAGAAAAAAGCTTCATTGCTCTCCGCTCAGCCAGCAGCCATGAACGTTGCAGCAGTGCCGCCTGCCTCCGAGGACGTTGCTGCAGGCCCGCCTGCTTCCGAGGACGTCGCTCCAGGCCCGCCTGCTTCCGAGGACGTCGCTGCATGCCCGCCTGCTTCCGAGGACATTGAGGACATTGAGGTTGTCGCAGCAGGCCCGCCTGCCTCCGTGGACGTCGCAGCATTCCCGCCTGCCTCCGTGGACGTCGCAGCATTCCCGCCTGCCTCCGTGGACGTCGCAGCAGTCCCGCCTGCCTCCGTGGACGTCCCTGCAGTCCCGTCTGCCTCCGTGGACTTCGCTGCAGGCCCGCCTGTCTCTGTGGACATCGCTGTGTCCCATCCTGCCTCCGAGGACGTTGCTTCTGAATTCCCTGACCTGCTGGTAGCCTCTACATCCCCAGACCTGCCCATGGCCTCAGCGTCACCAGCGAGTTTACAGGACCTTATTAAGGAGAATGAAGTCAGACTTCAGGAGAGTTACCATCTGCTTTGTCGGCGTCAGTTGTTGCTCCCTGGTAAGGAGAAAAAAGCTTCATTGCTCTACGCTCAGCCAGCAGCCATGGACGTCGCGGCAGGCCCGCCTGCCTCCGAGGATGTCGCGGCAGGCTCGTCTGCCTCCGAGGACGTCGCGGCAGGCCCGCCTGCTTCCGAGGACATTGAGGACATCGAGGGTGTCGCGGCAGGCCCGTCTGCCTCCGAGGACGTCGCTGCGGCCCATCCTGCCTCCGTGGACGTCGCTGCGGCCCATCCTGCCTCCGAGGACGTCGCTGCGGCCCATCCTGCCTCCGAGGACGTCGCTGCGGCCCATCCTGCCTCCGAGGACGTCGCTGCGGCCCATCCTGCCTCCGAGGACGTCGCTGCGGCCCATCCTGCCTCCGAGGACGTTGCTTCTGAATTCCCTGACCTGCTGGTAGCCTCTACATCCCCAGACCTGCCCATGGCCTCAGCGTCACCAGTCCCAGTTCCTGCTCCCTGGGCCACTCCTGCTCCTGCACCCCAGGATGCCCCAGTTTCTGCTCTGGCACCCCGGGCAACTCTTTTTCTCATTTCCTGTCCTGCTCCGCCAACGGCCTCCCAGCGACTCCCTCCTATACCTACCTTTCAGCGTCCAGTGCCAACCTTCCAGTGTTCTGCTCTTCGAACATTTCCCTGGCTCCCTGTTCAAGTATCATTCTCCTCGCCTTTCCAGTTCCCTGCCCAGTCAACCACCCAGTTCCTTCACCTACATGAACTTCTTAATTCTGTGTGTTCCCCCAAGTCTGTCCACTCTCCAGTCCATAGGTTTGGTTTTTGTCCATCTAACCATGTGTATATATATGTACCTGTCACAATCAGTGTTCCTGTTTTTGTGTTTGGTCTTATTGTACCCATTCTTGTCCATGTTTCTGTCCCTGTCCCAGTAACTATGTCTGTTCCTGTCCCCATGTCTACGTTAACTCCATCGCCTGTTCTGCCATCTTTCCTGCCTCCTACGCAGTCTTTTGTCCAGCCCACTATCTGTTCCTCTGTCCAGACTTCCCTCCAGTCTCCTGTTCTATCTCCACTTTTGTTTCCAGTCTCGTCCCTGTGTGGTCCTGTCCAGTCTCATGTCCCATCTCATGTCCTGCCTCCTGTTGTCTTATGTGTTTCATCATTTATCTCACCTCGTGTCCATTCCCATGCTCAGTCTACTATCCTGTCTTTTGGCAAGTTTCCTGTCTGTTCTCCTGTCCAGTTTCCTGTGTATTTCTCTGTCTAGTTTCATGTCTGTTAGGTAGTTGTCCCTTGTCCAGTCCCTTGCCTGGTTCAGTATATGGTTCCTGTCCTGTCCTGTCCTGTCCTGTCCCCTCTATAGTTTCCTGTTTATGTTCATATGTTTTCCCGGTCCCTCCTCCTACCCGGCTCCCGCTTTGGATAGCTTTTGTTTTTCACGCCTCGGGAGCTGCGCGTTAGGAGGGGGGTTCTGTCACGGATTCCTTCTTTTGTCCCTCTGAGTGTCTTTCCTCCCCTCTGTTGTAGCCATGTGTCTTTTGTTTTCTTGTACCTTATGCTTTTGTTGTTGCTCTGTGTCTTCTCCTGGTCCTGGCCCCTTGTTATCTGTTCCACCTGCCTGTTGCTCCGCCCCTCATTAGTCCCAGGTGTGTCTCATTTCCCCTCTGTGTATTTATACCCCTGTGTTTGTTCAGTCTTTGTCTTGCATTGTGGATGTAACCTTGTGTCTTGTTTGCTTGTTGCTTTGGTTTTTGTCATGGACTCTAGTTTCAATAAAAACTCGCAATTGCATCCCGCCTCCATGCCTGAAACGTTACACTGGGTCCAAAAGTGGCAAGAAATCAATGATCAGATTTAACTTTAAATCTTGCTGACTTTCCAGTTATACCTGGATCAGCAGCAAAAAATCTTGGTGTAATACTCGATCCAGATTTATCATTCGAACAACACATAGGCAGCATCACTAGGACAGCTTTTTTACATCTTCGCAACATCGCCAGAATAAGAAATGCCTTATCGCTGCACGATGCAGAAACATTAGTACATGCCTTTATTACTTCAAGGCTAGACTATTGTAAACGCACTACTATCAGGATGCACCAGCAGGAATTTAAGTGAACTTCAACTAGTTCAAAATGCTGCAGCCAAGGTCCTCACTAAAACTAGAACATTTGATCATATCAGTCCAGTTCTATTATCACTTCATTGGCTGCCTGTTAAACTCCGTATTGATTACAACATTCTCTTATTGACGTATAAAGCCCTACATGGGCTCGCTCCTGAGTACCTGCAAGACCTTATTTCCCATCACAAGCCACCACGATTACTCAGATCACAGAGTGCTGGCTTTGTAATAGTTCCCAGAATTCAGAAGGTTTCATCTGGGGGAAGAGCCTTTTCTTACAAAGCCCCCAAACTCTGGAATGATCTTCCAGAAAATCTTCGAGACTCAGACTCAGTCCCAATCTTCAAATCTAGGCTGAAAAGTCACTTGTTTAGTTTAGCTTTTGGTAGTTAATGTTTCCCCTTAGATAAAGGCAGCAGGTCCAGGGGTCCATGGACGCAGGGAATTATAGTAAACTGAGACGCTGGTGCTGTTGTGCCGCCACTCGCATGCGAACACTCAGGTTTGTGGACGGTGGAGCGGAGGGATGCCAAATTGTCCCAGGGTGCTCCCGTGTCTGTGTGCCCTTTTGGTTCTCTCCTTTTAGTTAAGCTGTTCTAGTCAGTTCTGCTGGAGTCATTAGCCACACTCTGGAAATGTTTTACAAATTATTATACATACGCCCATACAGAACTAAACTAACTCCATTTCCCTACTTTTCCTCCGAGAAAACGACTGCCCACCTGTCCGGCCGGACACTGCTGGATGATTGTTTGTAGAGCTCTCCGGCTACCCGCTTCAGACCAGTTGCCCACGCCCCAGTCACCGCCACCTGCCTTGGACTAGCTGCCCACTCTACGCTCAAGTGGACTCCTAACTATTACTACTACTACTACTATTAATATTAGTAGTATAATAATTTTGTAGGAAGTTTGACCAGAGAAGGATGGGTCCCCCCTTGTTAGCCTTGGTTCCTCCCAAGGTTTCTTCCTCAGCTCTGAGGGAGTTTTTCCTTGCCACTGTCACCACTGGCTCGCTCACCTGGAGGATTTACATTTCATGTTGAAACTTGGTCCTAAATGGATTTCTGTGAAGCTGCGTTGTGACAACAGCAGTTGTAAAAAGCACTATACAAATAAATTTGACTTGACTTGACTTGACTTCTGAGAGTAATTTGGCTACTCCAAAAGCTATTATTTTCAAAGGGCATGATGAGAAAACTGTCCTACTTGGTTCATGACATTTCACAAGAACCCCAACTAACCTGCCTACTAACCTACTAATCCTCCACAAACAGGAGCTGGTAGAGCTTCAGTAGAGTCTGTCCATCATTAAAAGAGCTCTGATCCACACAGGCAGGACCTCACAATGCTCATTCATTCTCAGACTGCCTGAGTGGACTGCAGTGTAAAGAACAGTGCTGGACATCATTCACATTGTGTCCTTATTCATCAAACTTGTGTAGAGAAGAGCTCAGATCTGACCGCCCTGAATGAAGGACAGATTACTCTTCTTTCTACTTATTGTTTTTTTTATTTTATTTGTCTCTTAGTTTAATTCTTGTTATCAGTCTGTGTGTCTGCTCTGTTCAGTATGTCACATGTCACACATCTGTGACTCACCAAGACAAACTCCCTGTACAAGTAACACACTTGGTGAAATAAAGTGACTCTGATTATAAAGTAATGATAAGCTATCAGTCTGGCTGAAATGATTAGACATATGGAATGTAAGGACTGGTGCTGGACATCATTCACAGGCAGTTTGTTGAAGCAGACAGTGCCCTTCTGGAGCTGCTGCTCTGTTCCTGTTCAGTGTGACTCTCACCCTCATCTCCAAACACCCATTTCAGGATGGAGCTCTGTAACAGTTCTGACTGTGAACAGATCCTCTGCTGTTCCACTGTTTACATGTGTGGATCTCCTTCAGCTCCACACTGATTCAGTGGATCATACAGTATCAGATAAACTTCAGATTCTCTGGTTAAACAAATGTAAACAGTAAGAAAATAAAAACTCCACTTTACCTCTTCTCAGTTCTTGCCTTTCTGTAAACAGAGAAGATTAAGAATGAACACGAGCACACATGAAGAGAAAATCAGCAGGTGTTGATCTGTTTTCAAGGTAGCAGCTGTTTGTAGAATTAGTTACTGTTCATATTCTCACACTGTGTGTGTGAAATGTATTAAAGACAATATTTACATACAATATTTAGATTAAAAAAAAACAATTTAAACATGCAGAAATCATTTCAGAGTCTTACTCCATAAACCTGGTTCAGTGAACAGACTGTATGAACTAGTGTGACTAACAGGGCTGAGAGGGTCACTTTAAAATGTAGTCCAGTACAGATACTGACCACCTGTTAATAATATAAACAGTAACCTAATAATCCAAAGGGCTACTATAATAAAGTAGTGTAATATTCCTTTGAGAGAAAGTGTAGCACTGACCTCCAAAGCTATTATTTTCACAGGGCATGATGAGAAAACTGCCCTACTTGGTTCATCACACATTTCACAAGAACCCTAACTAACCTGCCTACTAACCTACTAATCCTCCACAAACAGGAGCTGGTAGAGCTTCAGTAGAGTCTGTCCATCATTAAAAGAGCTCTGATCCACACAGGCAGGACCTCACAATGCTCATTCATTCTCAGACTGCCTGAGTGGACTGCAGTGTAAAGAACAGTGCTGGACATCATTCACATTGTGTCCTTATTCATCAAACTTGTGTAGAGAAGAGCTCAGATCTGACCGCCCTGAATGAAGGACAGACTACTCTGAATCTGATTCAGGAAACTGGAGTAAGAAAACAGAGACAAGCTCTGATTTGAGCTCAACTGATGAATCTTCAGAGGTGGAAACAAGCGCCTGTACACGAGTACCTCATTTACATATAATTAGCAGACACGCCTCAATTTACCTTCTGGAGCTGCTGCTCTGTTCATGTTCAGTGTGACTCTCACCCTCATCTCCAAACACCCATTTCAGGATGGAGCTCTGTAACAGTTCTGACTGTGAACAGATCCTCTGCTGTTTCAATGTTTACATGTGTGGATCTCCTTCAGCTCCACACTGATTCAGTGGATCATACAGTATCACATAAACTTCAGATTCTCTGGTTAAACAAATGTAAACAGTAAGAAAATAAAAACTCCAGTTTACCTCTCATCAGTTCTTCCACTGCTGCAAAAAGAGAAGATTAAGAATGAACACGAGCACACATGAAGAGAGAATCAGCAGGTGTTGATCTGTTTTCAAGGTAGCAGCTGTTTTGTAGAATTAGTTACTGTTCATATTCTCACACTGTGTGTGTGAAATGTATTAAAGAAAATATTTACATACAATATTTAGATTTCCAAAAAAAAAAAGCAATTTAAAAATATTTCTCCACATTATTAATGAGGAACATAAACATGCAGAAATCATTTCAGAGTCTTACTCCATAAACCTGGTTCAGTGAACAGACTGTATGAACTAGTGTGACTAACAGGGCTGAGAGGGTCACTTTAAAATGTAGTCCAGTACAGATACTGACCACCTGTTAATAATATAAACAGTATCCTAATTATCCAAAGGGCTACTATAATAAAGTAGTGTAATATTGTTCTGAGAGTAATTTGGCTACTGGACTCCAAAGCTATTATTTTCACAGGGCATGATGAGAAAACTGCCCTACTTGATTCATCACACATTTCACAAGAACCCCAACTAACCTGCCTACTAACCTACTAATTCTCCACAAACAGGAGCTGGTAGAGCTTCAGTAGAGTCTGTCCATCATTAAAAGAGCTCTGATCCACACAGGCAGGACCTCACAATGCTCATTCATTCTCAGACTGCCTGAGTGGACTGCAGTGTAAAGAACAGTGCTGGACATCATTCACATTGTGTCCTTATTCATCAAACTTGTGTAGAGAAGAGCTCAGATCTGACCGCCCTGAATGAAGGACAGACTACTCTGAATCTGATTTCAGGAAACTCAGGAAACTGAAGTAAGAAAACAGAGACAAGCTCTGATTTGAGCTCAACAGATAAATCTTCAGAGGTGGAAACATGCGCCTGTACACGAGTACCTCATTTACATATAATTAGCAGACACGCCTCAATTTACCTTCATAAACATATAATTTACATGAAGCACGCCGTAACTCATGCAGATGGTTCAGCAGGAAGCCTATAAAACAAAAGCATTCAGCAGCTGTGAGTCAATGACTGTGCTGGTAAGCTGAGTTTGAGGCTGAGCAGTGAGTGCACTCCCCCGGATCCGGCGCTCCCGCACCCCTCCTGCTCTAAATGTAGACCTCCGTCTATCTCTGATTGGACCGTTGCTAAACTGCAGAAGGTCCTTAGGGAACGGCACGTTCCTTTCGCCCGCACGGTGCCTAAGGCAGAGCTTTTCTCCCTGTACGTGCAGTCTCTCGGGAGTAAACAGCGCCTGCCTTCTGCTGCTAAGGCGCAGCCTGATCGCGTCACCTTCCCCACGGCCCCGGCGCGTGATGACGTCACCAACTCCCGGGACGCCGCCTCATCTGATGTGCCGCCCTCCGCTGGATGTCCCGGACCCGCTACCAGGCAGCCTTCCTCCGTTGCTGGCCCAGCCAGCACTGTCACCCCCATTGCATGCCTTGCTTCTGTTTTTTCTCAGCTCTCTCCCCCTATATTTTCCCAGCCTTTTTCTGCCCCACCTTTGGATATGTCTCTTCCTTCTTCTCAGCTTCCTCCTTTATCATCCCGACCCCTCCCTTTATCATCCCAACCCCTCCCTTTATAATCCCAACCCCTCCCCTTATCATCCCAACCCCTTCCTTTATCATCCCAACCCCCCTTTATCATCCCAACCCCTCCCCTTATCATCCCAACCCCTCCCCTTATCATCCCAACCCCCCCTTTATCATCCCAACCCCTCCCCCTATCATCCCAATCCCTCCCCCTGTCATCCCATCCCCTCCCCTTATCATCCCATCCCTTCCCTTTATCATCCCTCCCCTTCCCTTCATCATCCCTCCCTGTTCCCTCATCATCCCAGCCCCTTTTCTTCGTACCCGTTTCCTCCTTCTTTTATGACGTTCCCTCCTTGCCCTTCTGCCTCGTTTTCTCATCCCATCCCAGGTCTCCAGTCGCAGTCACTGCCAGCCCAGCCTCGGCCCCTCCTCGCCGACTCCTCGTTTTCCCTCTACACCGCTCCTCCTGCTGTCCCACCCAGCGAGGCCCGCCTCTTCAATCCACCTCTCGTCTCTTCTGCCCTGCGTGCACGGATCCTCCAAGGTGCGGACGTCAGTCTCCCTTCATTACTTCACCCATCCGCTGCCTCCGGTGCTCCCTGTACCACTGACGCCGGCGACGTTTCTCTCACCCTCAAGTGTGCCAATCCTCGCACCTCTAAGGTCCTCACCGCTCCTGAGTTCGCACTCGCTTTTTCCATCTACCTTGATATACTCTGTTCAGCCTGCCCATCGCGGCGTCAGGAGCTGGATGACTATCTTTCTATCATCTTGGACCTTGCCGTTTGATTTGGAAGGTCGGGTTTCTACGATTACCATTGTCTGTTCTCGGCCCGTGCATCTGCCCGTCTTCAGCAGTGGAACATGTCTACATATTGGGGCTACCTGGACCTTGAGCTCTACTGTCGCGTTTTTGCTGGTCGTACTGCTCTCTCCTGTGAGCTCTGCAGTTGCCCGTTTCATCCCGCTTCCTCCTGCACTGCCGTACCCTCACCTCCTACGGCAGCCCCCGCCCCTATCTTTACGACTTCCAGTTCCCGCGATAGCCGCGGGCGGCGTTTGCTTTTCCTCGGGGGACGGATGGTTTGTAATAATTTCAACTCCGCTGGTTTTTTTTCTTCTTCGTGCAAGTTCCTCCACGTCTGCTCTCATTGTGGCCAGGCTCACTCTAGATCGGGATGTCTCCTTCACCCTCCTAAGTTTGGGCCCAAATGACTACTTCGGCATTTTTCTACCCCCGTCAATGTCCCTGCTCTCGCTGCTGACCTCTCCCTCCATCCTGATCATTCTTTCGTCTCGTATTTGCTGGACGGCCTCATCTTTGGCTTTTCTCCTGGACTCGCTGTGCTTCCTGCCTCATCCCTTTCATGTCGCAACCTCCTCTCCAGTCTGTCCGAGCCTGATGTTGTGTCTTCCCTTTTAGCCAAGGAAGTTTCGGAGGGTTTCATGATCGGCCCTTTCGCTTCTGCTCCCTTCTCCACCTATCGTGTCAATCCTATTGGCGTCACCACTCGTAAATACTCCAGCAAGAAACGCCTCATCATTGATTTGTCTGCCCCTCATGGCTCTTCAGAACCATCCATCAACAGCCTCGTGCCTAGCTCTGATTTCTCTCTTCACTACGCTACCGTGGACAATGCTATATCGCTCATCAAGCAGGCCGGCCGTGGAGGTTGGCTCGCCAAGGCTGACATTGTCTCGGCTTTTAAGGTCCTCCCTCTGCACCCTGATTTTTGGCATCTGTTTGGAGTTTGCTGGGATGGCAGATTTTACTTTGCAGTTCGACTCGCCTTTGGATGCAAAAGCAGCCCCAAGATTTTCGACACTCTGGCCGAAGCCTTGTGTTGGATCTTGCTGAATGTTTGCAGACTACCCTACGTGCTTCACCTCCTCGATGACTTCCTCGTGGCGGTCCCCCCTTCCTTCCCGCCTGCGTATGGCCTCCGTACCCTCTCCTCTGCATTTCAGCGTCTTGGTATCCCCCTCTCTCCGGAGAAGACATTAGGTCCATCTACCTCTTTCGAATTCCTTGGCATTCAGCTGGACTCAGTCTTGTTCCAGGCTTCCCTTCCACCCGATAAGCTGGATCGCATTGCTACTGCCCTGTCAGAATTCGTGCTGCAGCCTCGATGCTCGAAGCTCCAGCTTCTCTCTCTTCTTGGGCATCTCAATTATGCAATTCGAATAATACCTCAAGGTCGCTCTTTTATCTCCCTCCTCCTCAGCATTGCCTCCTCGGTTCCCTCACTTCAACACCGCCTCTCCTTGGATGACGCATGTATCTCGGAACTCCGCTTCTGGCTCTTCCTCCTCCAGCACTGGAATGGCATCTCTTTCTTCTACGAAGACGCTATCCTAGTCCCTGAAGATCTGCAACTATTCACTGATGCTGCTCCCTCGATAGGCTTCGGCGGCTTTTATGGTGGCCGCTGGTTCGCATCTCAATGGCCTCCGGAGTTTGCTTCGCTTTCATTTGAATCCTTTGATTCATTTTATTTTTTGATTCATTTGATTCCTCTGCCTTGTGGGAACTCTACCCGGTCGTCATAGCCGCACTCCTTTTGGGATACGAATGGACATGATGAGTGATCCTTATCCACTCCGACAACTCTGCTGTTGTTCATATGATAAACAAAGGACGATCTAAATCCCTAACACTCATGCCATTCTTACGTCGCCTGACTTGGCACTCTATCAACCATCAATTTATTCTTCGAGCCATTCACATCCCAGGCCATTCAAATGCTATTGCTGATTCTCTCTCTCGTTTTCAATTTCAGAAATTCAAAGCCTTGGCACCTCAAGCAGAGCCTCATCCGACACCAATTCCTCCATTTTCAGACTCCATCCTCCAACTGACCAGCAGTTCTTTCAGCTCCTCCTCCAAGCTCAAGAAATAATCTTAAGCGCAGTTGCCCCTCGTACCCTGTCGACCTATTGGTCCGGATAGAAATCTTTCCAGCGCTTCCACGCACTCCACAGCATTCCGTTCCCTTCAGACAATCTGCCAATGACAGCTGCTTACCTCACATTTGCCAGTTCATATTTAGCCATTCGCTCTTCCACCTTAAAAGTCTATTTAGCCAGGATCAATTTCTTTACAAAGCTTATCAACGGAACCCAACACACAACAGCTAACCAGCCTCAGATTATACTTTTACTAAAAGGAATCCAAAGAAATGAACCTCGCCTTCCACCACACCAGCTGCCCTTAACCTCTGACATACTCCACCGCTGCATTCAGACACTCCGTGCTGGTCTCTTCCCCAAAGAACTATCCACTACATTAGAAGCCCTGTTTCTCCTCGCTTTTTTCGGATTCCGGAGATGCTCAGAATATACAGCTCAAACAGA